TCCCTTCACTTTCATCTTCTGTGAGTCTTTTGTTAGGAATTGGGTCTCCTGTAGACAGTGTGTGTGTGTATATATATATATATGTTTTATTCATTCAGCTATTGTATGTCTTTTTATTGGAGCATTTAAGCCATTTAAAGTTACTATTGATAGGTACTTATATGTTGCCATTTTTACTCTTTATGTCTGTGTTCTCTCTCTATTTTTCTTACAACCATCCCTATAGCATTTCTTGCAGTGTTGGTTTTGTGGTGATAAACTCTTTTAGCCTTTTTTTTGTCTGCAAAGCTATTTATTTCATCCTTGATTTTGAGTGATAGTCTTGCTGGATAGAGTAGTCTTGGATTCAGTCCCTTGCTTTTCATTACTTTATATACTTCATGCCTGTCCCTTCTGGCCTGAAGTGTTTCTATTGATAAATCAGCTGACAGTCTAATGGTAGCCCCCTTGTAATTCACTTTCAGTCTCTTTCTTGCAGTCTTTAAAATTCTTTGTCTTTAACGTTTGCCATTTTCATTATGATGTGTCTAGGTGGCTCTTTTGGGGTTCATCTTGATTGGGACTATGTGTCTCCTGAACTTTAGTGACTTTTTTCTACACCAGGTTAGAAAAATTATCTGCCATTATTTCATTTAACAGGTTCTATATTCTTTGCTCAGCTTCTTGTCATTCTGGATCCCCTACTATGCAGACGTTGTTATGTTTCCTGTTGTCCCAAAACTCCCTTAAAAACTTCCTGCTTTTTTTTCTTTCCAATTGCTGCTTTGTATGGGGGGATTTTTTTCTACTGTGGCTTCTAATTTGCTGATTCAGTCCTCTGCTTCCTCCAGTCTATTCTTGATTCCTTCCAGGGTATTTTTTATTTCAGCTATGACTTTCTTCATTTCCACTTAAGTCTTATACATGATTTCTACCTCTTTTTTATGCTGGTGTAGTTCCATTAGGTTCCATAATGTCTTCATTAAATTTTTTGTACTTCTCACTAAGTTGTTTGAGCACCCTTATAACCATTACTTTGAATTCTTTATCTGACAAATTGCTTGCCTCCATTTCATTTAGTTGCTTTCCTAGTGATTCCTCCTTTTCTTTCTTTTCTGGGCTGTTTCTTTTTCTTGCCATCTTTGCTGTCCCTTTGTATTTGTTTCTATGTATTAGAATAAACTGCTATGCCTCTCAATCTTCCTGGGGTGGTCTTATGTAGTAGGTGTTTTGTGGGACCCAGTTGTATACTCTCTTAGATTTCCTGAGCTGGATGTTCTAGGAATTCCCCTTGAGTTATTTGGGTTCTTCTATTGCAATTGGATCTTGAATGCTATGGTCCCATTCATGGATGGATTCTCTTCTCAGGCTGGCTGGTTGTGAGGCGCATCTCAGACCACATTGCACATCGTGTGAGTTGTTGTGGTGGTGCTGACAGAATAGAACAAAATACAGCAAAACAAAATAAAAGAAACAAAAGAAAAACATACACAAGACCCCTACAAAAACATTAAAAGCAACCACAAAATAAGAATTAATTAAAAGAAGAGAGTAAAAATGATAGAAGAAAAGAAAGAAAAAATATACAAGGGGAGAAAAGGGGGAATTAAAAGGAATATGAAGGGGCAGAGATGTAATAAATAAAATAAGAATAAAGAATAGGGGAAGGAAATAGTATAAAATAAAAGAGAGAAAAATTTGAAAAATAAAATAGAGGAGAAAGCTGATAGACACAAAATAAGAAAAGGAAACATGAGAAAGCAGGAGAAAAAAAAGATAGAGTAGAAAAAAGAAAGAAAAAATAGATATATGAAAGAAACAATAGAGACTAAAATAATAAATCAATAAAGCAGATAGATAAAGAAGATGAATTTAGAAAGGAAAGAAAAAAAGTGTAGTGATGTTTGTTTCAATAGAGTTTAGTGCCCCATGGGATCGCCCTTTGGATCCTGTTCTTCTGATGACTATAGCTGACTGTTCTGTCTGCCAATTCTGGGCTTCCTGGGAAGAACTTAGGTGCTTACCACTGTCAAAAACTGTTTGAAGCTCCACAGTTTGTGTCTATCTCCACAGGTCTTGGCTGGGCATGGGAAAGGGTAAGCTGTTCTCTAAGGCTGGTTTGTTAGCAGCACAGGGTCCAGGGTTGGGTCAGCAAACTTTCCCAGGTTCTCTGGGCTCTGCCTCCGCTCGCTTTCACTTGCCAGCCAGCTGTCAATCTTAATCACTCAAAAGTCTGTTTCTGAAAGAGCTTTAGGTGGAATCGGAAGTATAGAGTCTCTGGGTCTCCTGTGTGGGGGAGGTGCTGTTCAGATTTCAGGGAAAGCAATGAGTGTGTTTCCCTGTCCTAGAGCTACTCCTCTGAGAGTGACCCAGAATATGTCCCTGCCCTTGGCTGGGTGGAGATCCTCATATGCAGTCCATTGGGATCAGCTGAACATCAGGAGTTTGTATCAATTCACACATGGGTAGGAAGCACCAGTCAGGCTCTTGGGATAGTGAGGTGGATGGCCCCAAACCCAATCCAGTCACTGATGTTTCCTAAGACTATTCAAACTCATAGGCTTGGCCTCTGGTACTGTCGCCTCTGCAAAGGTGGAGATGCGGAGTAAATGGCAGGCAGGGCTCCTGAGGGTGTGGTGGGCTTTATCGCCTAGGGTGTTTTTGTTTGTTTTTTTCCTTTTCCAGAGCTGTGGCTTCTGGGAGGGGCTAGCACCTCTCAGGTAAAATGGCCATTTTGACTTTGGGGGGTACTATCAAATGCAGGGCTCCCCACTGCTGCTTTTCCACATCACCCCCAATGCTTCCCACCCCAGCCTCTCTTTAGTCACCTTGAGTCTACACTGCCCTCCCTCCACCAAAGCCTTTGGTGAGTAGCTGTAAACAAATTTCCTGTGCTTTGGGTTTTTTTTAAAACAAACAAACAAAAACAAAACCCTTGTATCTTCAACTTTAACTCTGACTGTTGTATCGTAAATCAGCAAATGAGATACAAGATGCCTTAATGAGCCAATTAATTAGGAGTCCTTTATTGTGTGCGGCCGAGAGGGAGGTGTCTCTTCCAAATCTCTGAGCAAACAAATAGAGGAAGTTCCCTCTATTTACACCTTTCGGGCTCTTTGTCTGCAGATTTTATAAAGGGCTCTGTGTGAGTTATTGTTACAGACAGTTTATAATCTTGGATACATAAAGAACAAACATTTGGCATAAGAATATGGGAATTATTATCAGTATTAGTCCATTATGTTAGATGGCTAGCTTGCAAGGTCAGATAGTTAAGTTTTTATCTTTTTCTATTATTCAAACTAAAACAGTTATTTTATAGAATAAGAGACTGTCTAAAAATGACAAAGTTTGTGGAACAAGGGACTATCTAACAATAGCAGAGAATTCAAACAGTAGTTTTATACAAGATGGAGGTTAATCTGCTTCATTCCCCACTGGTTTTATGTAAATGAGTCAAATCATTGACTCTTGGGGGTTGTTAACATTTTTAACCTACTCAGCTTTGAGGTTTTCTGTACTAAGTCCTATAAAGATAATTAATAATGCGGCGTATGTGAAAGTTTTATCTTTAGAGAATCCTTCTGCCTGTGCTGCCTTAAGCCATGTTGGGATCCCGTTGACCTTGGGGGTGGTCAGGATGATGGTATGTGGTCCACTCTGGGTAGGAGTTAATCCTTGGGTGGTAAATTTCTTTACCCAAACAGAGTCACCTAGGTGAAAGGGTTGAACTGGATCTGACATTGGTACAGGCAGAGCGTCTCAGACGTGCTTCTGGATTACTTTCTGGGTAGACTGTAAAGCCTGTAAGAACTTGAGTAAAGATTGGTTATGGGGTTATGGATTTCAGCTTTTCTAGATTGGGTTTCTGTGTAAGCTGGTGAGATGGGTAGGTCAGGGTCTGGAAGAGTCACTACAAACTGTAGAGGCCCCACTGGTTTTAGGGCAGCCTCCTAGGTGACTTCATCTGCAGTCTAGTTTCCTCTTGCTTCTGGGGAGTCCCCTTGCTTCACATACATAGAGGTGGAAAGACTTAGTTACATTTGGTAGTGCTAGTTGGCCCATCGTCTTTGCTCTGCTCATGTCTGTCTTACTGCCTAATATATTACCTCAAGGATCCTGGCTCTGAATTCTTTCAGGGAAAATGGACGTCTGTGGGCTCCTCTAACTACGTCCATGCTGAAGGGGGACACAGTTTTCTTTCAGAGCCAAGAGATCCTTGCTGTCTGTCAGAGGGACGATGAGGCCTGGGCACAGAAGGAGGTGGGCTTGTGACCTGGCAAAGAAAAACTGTATTATAAAATTTAGTATTATTGAGCCATTAGAATAGCAAGAGTTACAACAAATGGTCTAGTGGAAGGGAAAGAAAACATTTAAGTTTTAATAACTTCTACTGAAATAGAATTTTTCTCCTCAAAATTACCCTTACGTTTATTAAAAGAACTAAATTAAGACTAATGTATCTATTGTATTCAATTTGGCCTGATCGTTTACATAATCACAATAAGAATGGTAACTGACTATCTTTGCCGGAATTTCATGATTGAATCTTAATGTGCCCCTTGGCCCAGGAAGCCAAGCCATCCAGCTGCGGTCAGGCCTGCCTGCAGTATCTCCTGAGTTAGGTGAATCCCTCACCTGCAGCGACTCCACTCGGGCCCACGCCCTAGGCTTCAAGGCCTATCTCAGCAGCCCTCCTACTCCTTGTGGCGTAGAGTGTGTGGGGGTTCTGCAGGGACGCAGAGGTGCCCTTTTTGCTCTCCTTCTACTCTGACTAACCACCAGTGATGGTAGGGCATGGGCCTGATGCTCTAGCGCCAGTTGTTTTCAGGGCTACCAAGCAGGATACCAGGCTTTCTCTGTGGCACTCTTATTGGCTTCAAGTCTTCAGAGTTCAGATAGGGCTCTTTAAAACATGATACTCCAGTCAAAGTTTTCAGTCAATAAAACCACTATTGGAAACCGGTCTTATTGAATTTATGCAAAGAAATGTATTGCCATGATTTATTAAGCATTTCCAAATTTTGGAGGAATTATATAAGGGAAAAATATACTGACCATCTTTAAGATCTTCTGATTTTCCTTGTAAGTCCTTTTTATGGATTCTTCAGAGTAATATTTTTCTAAATGTATTATAACAAAACAGTAACTGTCTTTAAATGGCAAGAAGAAATTTGAAATGTGTTTACACTCAAATAGATAGTCATAGCTGTCCCTGCAGTAGGGTTCCCCCTACTTGACTTGCCCTTAAACTACATATGATCTCTGGGAGATGTGACACGCCCTCTCAGAACAGACTAAGGGAGTAGCTCCACCACATGAGCTTTATCCTTTCATAGGGTCTCATATGTCACAGGACCTCACAGGGTCTGTAATTCCTGTGACAGAGGGCTGGTACTTACCACTCCCCTCTGTTCTATATAGGCCTCCCTCAATTTCCTAAAGTTGAGGTTTGTGCCACTCCTGACATGAGCATGGTCACACAGGCGTGTAAGGCAGTATACTATCTCTCAATAGAGACCAAAACCTGATGGGTATTTTTCTTTACCCATTTGGGAACCTGCCGTTTTGGCAACTGCATTCAAATCTACAAGAGAATTAAAGGTTAATGTAATATATTTACATAATGAAGTACAACATTGGTACTGTAGCCGCTTCTGGCAGCTAAATCTTCTGCTACCAAACATGACACATGGTAGGGCTATACAAATATCTCAGGGAGGTGACTAAAGTCTATACTTGACCTTCCCACACAAAGCAAACCTGTCCTTGTCTCTCTGGAGTCATGTCCATGAAGACGCAGGCATTATCTAAGTCTATTATACAGTTGTCTGCAGGCCACTGTCAGGGCTATGTGTGGCGGCTGGTTCTTCTTTCTAGCCACGAACACAGTCTGTCCAATTTCCCTAAAATATATTCTGGCATGGGAGAAAGTTGTTTTGCTATACACAGGCAGCTTAACCCCTATACAACTGGGCTTGGACCTTGGTAGTCTATAAGTTCAATATGCAGCCTCCAATCCTCCTAACCTAATGGGGTCTCGGCTAGTCCCTCAGTCAGACCCCTCTTCTCTAGAAGCATCTGAAAATCCTGAAGGCTTTCCGGTCTATGGAAAATGTCTTCCCTTTACCCTCTCCTGTTAACCCTGTTTATCAGTTAAAGGGCCCTGCTATCCCTGTCTCTTACCACTGCTTGGTTCCTAGTGGCGAGTCAAACACAGCCAGGGCTGCAGGGAGAGACAACTTTGCACATAGCAAAGTGCTCTGGTGATGGCTTGGGCATCAGGTCCTTGCTTTCTCACCTGTCCTCTTTCCTGGCAGGGACCTTGACCTTTCCCACAGGCTTCTCTGTAAGTAAGAACAGGGCATCTGCTCCCCCCAACCAGGTGTCTTGGCCCACCCCTTAGTCTAAGGTGTTAAATCTTTCAGCTTCTCTGTGAGAGTTCAAGGCACTGGAAGGGGACATCATCCCCTCCTCTCCCAGCAGCAACAGGTACTGGCAGCTGCTCTTGTAGTCCTGAACCCTTTCAGCACATTTGCAAATGGGAAACTTTACCAGCTTCATCCCTGGCCACTTTCACAGATCCCAGGGCCTTTTGCTTGTCTCCCTTTCCTATTGTGAGTCAGAGGAAGACAATTCCTATAGAGGGGAGAAATAGAAAAAGTGGGAGTTTTGGAGAAAACCACAGACTACTGCTGTAGTAGTCCTCCCTCCCGGAGGCTGGGGTTCGACCTATGGAGAAAAATGACTCTTGGTCGGCCTGGAAAAGAAGGCAGAGGATGACAAGGATGTGTAGGAAATTTTTTGTGGATTGAAAGCCTGGAGGGCCTCCTGAAAGAAAAGATATTTAATCCAGTTGCAGATGCTGTCAGTATCAGGAGTGAGGGAGGAAGGGAAAGAACAGGTTATGTCCTCTAGGAGGGTCCTAATAAATAACTGAAAACGGCAAGCCAAACAAGACATACAAGATATATAACCAGGGTAGACAGGGCTCATGAATAGATGATTATGATAACACTAATTAGATTTCCTTTTAACATTTCTCTTTTTCTTCTTGTTATATACTCAACCTTTATAAATTTCACATTTTCAAATTAGCCTTTAAACCTTCTTTTCTATGTCCTTTAAAAATGCACAACCATGCCTCAGACCTTCTACTTAGTAATTCCTCATTCTTAGATTAACATTTATGAATACACTTTAAATGTACTTTTACTTTTAAGAAAATATAACTTCAACAAAGTATAAGGGACCTTACTTCTGTAATAAAAACTAAGAGCAAGTAAATTAAAACTTGTCTAGTAAAAACTGCTATATTCTTCCTTATGTAATTTCAAGTATATTGTATTGGTCTAATTTAGAATTGGAAGGGTTAAAGAGAACAAAACGGGGCAGAGAAAGATTCACTGCACCTTGCAACTTATGGCCTTAAGTCCAGCACAGCTCAGATAAGTGAGAAACCAAGGACACCAGCAGAGTGGTTTGTAGCCAGCAAAATAAACAAAAATCTATTTCTCCCTGCTCTCCCCGCTAATGTCTCCCCTTTCTGCATTAACCATTTACTCTGTCCTAGTAGGGGAAACAAGTCAAGTGGTCTGAGATTCTGTACATCCAGGCTTTTTACACTTAAGGACACATAACCTCTGTAACAGCCGCTCTCCCTCCCAGATTCTTCCTTTTTCACTCTAAGCCCATGGAGGATCTCTAATCCCCCTCCTCCTTTACCACTCCTGATTTCCCCAACCATCCCCTGGTCCCCCAGCCTTGGGTTCCTCTATCTCATCAGGCTGAGAGCCTACCACCCTACCTAGTGATTCCCACCACCACTAACTTATCTCATACCCACTCTGGAGCAGTTTCAGCTCCCTTCCTCTCCCACTCCGGCACTAGCCCTTAAGTGCCCCCTTTGGGAGATTGCTGGTGCCAAATCTGGCTTCATGCCCAGGGCCACGCAGATAACCTCTGCTGGCAGTCCCCCTCTAGTCAGAGCGGATGCTGTTCCTGATAGAGACCCACTGTAAATCTATCAGGAAGGGCAGGCAGGCCACAGGTCCTGGGATCACATGATTCTCTGTTTGCTAGCAAGGCTGAAAAAGGCAGCCCACAAAGCAGTTTATCCAGGAAAATCATAAAAATACGGCAGTCATTTTAGCATTTTTTACTCTAACATTCTTTTCTCTCTGCTTGAACATTCTGACTCATCCCAAGAAGCACCCAGTAGCCCCGCCCTACCAGGCTTGGAGGCAAACTTAGTTTTTCTTGGAAACCTCCATCAGCCAGAGGGGAGATAAGAAAACTGTAAATAAGTCCTCTGTTCCTTGAAATTTACTACTTTGTTGCAAATAGTTAACTTGAAAAGACTTCTCTCTTGCTTTTCTTACAAGCAATCGTGGAACCTAGCTGGCCTTTGTTTTTTCTGGGCTAAACCCTTTACAAATTTATACCTTTAAATCTACCCCAGAATTCCAAAATTTCAACCTAATACAGTAAAATTACAAATCAGGGGAGAGCAAATTAAAAGCCCCTAGTATACAAACATAGACAGAAATTTAAGTGCGCTGATTCCCTCCTTGATGGAGAGCAAAAGACTCTGAGAAAAATAAATCTCAGCAGCTGCTAGAGACTTTTGCAGTTCGTCACAGCATTCAGCCTTACTATACACAATTAGGCTTCCCACTAAAGTGGGGTTTGTCCTATCTTTAAGCAAATTAAACAACAGAAAGAGTTAACAAATACTCTCATGTGTACAGCCAGACGGCACAAAGTAGCTTTCGCTTCTACGCAGGCTCTCACACTTATATTTATAGACCAGTTAGTGAACCGATAATTATGCCAAGACAGACAGACAAACATCCATACTCTCACTCTCTCAGTAGACTAGCCCGGATGAGAGCTGAGCAGGTAACTGAAACACTCTCCAACTCCCCAAATGGACATGGGGGCACTCCTGGCACCCACGCCCCAGAACAAAATTCTCTACCAATGTCTCGGTGAGAACTTACCGGAGGAGTTAAGACTGCATCCAGTCCCCTTCTTGGTAGCAAAATGGCTAGTCCCAAGCAAACAAACTGCAAAGTGAACTCAAAATTTCTTAATTGAATTTGAATTCCCTTACCTCCAGAGGTTTTTTCTGATGACTCCAAAGGAATGCAGGGGCATGTCAGGTGTCCCTTGTCTGGCTGTCACAACCACAGAGAAGCGTCTCTGAGGCCCTGGAACTTCATCAGGTGGCATCTCCCCTAGAGATCCTCAGGGCCTGGCAGCCAGGCAGGGGAGGCCGTCCATCCCAGGCGTCCAAGACTAGGTGTGGGTAGGCACCTGTCTCTTATCTTGTGGGGGCCTCCAAATGTTGTATCATAAATCAGCGAATGAGATACAAGACACCTTAATGAGCCAATTAATTAGGAGTCCTTTATTGTGTGTGGCCCAGAGGGAGGTGTCTCTTCCAAATCTCTGAGCAAACAAATAGAGGAAGTTCCCTCTATTTATAAAGGGTGTCCCAAAATTCACGCAAGAAGTAATTTTGATAACAAACACAGGTTTATAATTAAAAATTGTAAATTTTTTATTGATTCATAAAGTATACAGTATAGGGTTATGTATGGAATAGCATATCGGGTAAATGGATTATCATGTCGCGATAGCAAGCACCATTAACTGTTATTGTCTGAGCAGCCGCATTTTTGAAGAAGAATGGTCCGATGATGCCTCCAGCCCCAAATCCGAACCAAACAGTGACACATTGTGGATGCATTTGTTTCTCAACAATCACTCGTGGATTTTCTGAACCCCAAATGCGACAATTTTGTCGATAACCAAGCCATCCACAACGTGTCACTATTTGGTGCGGATTTGGGGCTGGAGGCATCATGGGACCATTCTTCGAAAATGCGGCTGCTCAGGCAATAACAGTTAATGGTGCTTGCTATCGCGACATGATAATCCATTTACCCGATATGCTATTCCATACATAACCCTATACTGTATACTTTATGAATCAATAAAAAATTTACAATTTTTATTATAAACCTGTGTTTGCTATCAAAATAACTTCTTGCGTGAATTTTGGGACACCCTTTACCTTTCAGGCTCTTTGCAGATTTTA